GGTGTAGAGGTTAAGGACATAGAATTGGTCATGTCACAAGCAAATGTGTCAAGAGCAAAGGCAGTCCGAGCCCTGAAGAACAACAGTAATGATATTGTAAATGCTATTATGGTAAGTGTCCAAACCTTTATTCCTTTACTACTTCTGCCCTGACCAGTTATGGGTGACTTTATTTTCTGTACTTAATATCAGCCAGTTAGGAAGCTTCATTCCAAAGCCTATTCTGAGTTACCTCATATTTTAGTGGCCTGAATTCTCAATTTGCCTATAACTGCTTCTAATGATCTCTTTTCTTACAGGAATTAACAATGTAACCATCTGAAAACGAGGACTTTTTTTGGTGTTTCAAAAGAATAACTGCAGCTTGGTTTGAAATTTGTACTGTTTCTATCATTAATAAAGTTATGGCTTCTTGTTGGATGAACTCAGTGGGTGCTTGGTCTCTTCCCACCCCCCCCCACAAAAAAAAAACATGAAGCCTCTAGAAATGAAAACACATAATTACTCTTAAGGCCTCAGCTTCAGTTGAAAAGGTTTAATGCCACAGATTCCTCACTTAAAATCTCAAGTCTTTTCATCTCTTAAAGATACCATACTAGTCTGTCTGTTAGGACTTTCTTGTCTTCAGAGAATAGAACTTAACATGTAGAGTTTCTCCTTTCCATTTTCTTTCCCAGATGTTAACTGTTAGCAAATCATGTCTTCTATATTTAACAATCATCAGCCTCTTTTCTGGCCTACAATCTTTGAATATATATATTGGACCTTATCTGGCCTCTGAGAAGGAGGTGTAAACATTGTTTACATCTTGATATGTAGGAGCTTGGTGCAGGGTTGGAGAGGGTGCATAATGGATGCATAATGGATGAAAAGACTCCACTTTGTAATAAAATGCAAAGGTACCTCGTGAAGGGAGTTTTTGACTGTATACGGTACAAACACTGCTCTCAAGACATAGACTCACTATACAGACATTTTAATGTACAAAATAAATTATGATTAGGGTAGCCATAATTATGTTAGGACAATAAGTGAAAACCAGGCAAACTGATAATGATTAGCCAGTGTATGAAAAACACACAACTCCATAGAAGTCCTAGGAGAAGAGTAAAACTTCTGAGTTTGGGTTGTTAGAAAATGGTTTGGGGGTGGAAAGCAGAGGACTAAAATTTGGAAATGGGGAGGCTAAAAGTAAATGTAGTGGCAAGAATCCTAAAACAAATAAGTGATAATACACCTAGAAGGAATGTTAGGATGGGAATAAATCAGACATATGGTAGAAGGCTTTAGGGACTAAAGTTTAGACATTTCAATTCCTGAATTCAGTTTTTTTTTGAAAGATTTTCTTTATTTGACAGAGACAGTGGAGAGAGGGAACACAAGCCGGGGGAGTGGGAGAGGAAGAAGCAGTCTTTCCTGCTGAGCAGGGAGCCCGATGCGGGGCTCAATCCCAGGACCCTGGGATCATGACCTGAGCCAAAGGCAGGCGCTTAATGACTGAGCCACCCAGGCACCCCTGAATTCAATTTTTTTTAGGTTTGTTTATGTACATAATCTCTTTACCCGACATGGGGCTCGAACTCACAACCCCAAGGTCAAGAGTCCTGCAGTCCTCTGAGCCAGCCAGGTGCCCCTTGAATTCAGTTTTCTTGATCCCTATGAGAGTAGATACTATTTTAACAGAGGTGAGTAAAAGTTGAGGACCAAAGAGGTTAAATGACTTCCAAAAACAGCCACTTTCTGAGTAGGGTCTTTTTTTTTTTTTTTTAAGATTTTATTTGAGAGAGAATGAGAGACAGCATGAGAGGTAGGAGGGTCAGAGGGAGAAGCGATGCAGGACTCGATCCCGGGACTCCAGGATCATGACCTGAGCCGAAGGCAGTCGCTTAACCAACTGAGCCATCCAGGCGCCCCTGAGTAGGGTCTTTTCATTCTGGTAGACTGTTGGTAAGAAGTGGTAGACTATCCTGGAGAACCACAAGTTGACATCTGGCTGAGGATGATGACCTTCCATTTTACCAGCATAGAACCATTCATTTGCTGAACAAAAGTCTCGAGGCTGGGACGCCTGGTGGCTTAGTTGGTTAGGTATCTGCCATCAGTTCAGGTCGTGATCCAGGGGTCCTGGGATCAAGTCCCACGTCGGGCTCCTTGCTCAGCAGAGGACCTGCTTCTCTGCCTGCTGCTCCCCCTGCTTGTGCGTGCTCTCTTGCTCTCACTCATTCTGACAAATATAAATTCTTTTTAAAAAAAAAAAGGAATATACAACTAACTTTGTCACAGAATGGTCAAATGCTTTACCTGTTAACAGCTCATGAATGATGTAGCTGTCCGTTTGGTTGTATAAAAAAGAAACCTGGTCTTTGCAACAAATGGTGCTGGGGAAACTGGATATCCACATGGAAAATAATTTTCCGAAGGAAGAGAAATTAACTACAAATGGATCAAAGACCTAAATGCAAGACCTAAAACCATAAAACTCTAAGAAGAAAACAGGAGGAAAGCTTCATGCCTTTGATTTGGCAGTGATTTATGCAATACCAGAAGCATAGGCAACAAAGTAGGTAGGAGTGCCTGGCTGGCTCAGTAGAGCATATGACTCTTGATCTCAGGGTGGTAAGTTGGGTGTAGAGATTACTTTTTAAAAAAAAAGTAGGGCGCCTGGGTGGCTCAGTTGGTTAAGCGACTGCCTTTGGCTCAGGTCATGACCCTGGAGTCCCGGGATCGAGTCCCACATCAGGCTTCCTGCCCAGCAGGGAGTCTGCTTCTCCCTCTGACCCTCTTCCCTCTCGTGCTTTCTATCTCTCATTCTCTCTCTCTCTCAAATAAATAAATACAATCTTTAAAAAAAAAAAGTAAATTGGATTTCCCCCAAATTTAAAATTTCTCTGCAACAAAGGACATAAATCAACAATAAAAAGACAACCTACAGGGGTACCCGGGTGGCTCAGTCGATTAAGTTTCTGCCTTTGCCTCAGGTCATGATCCTGGAGTCCTGGGATAGAGCCCCACCTCGGACTCCTTGCTCAGCAATTGCCCTCTCCCTTTCTCTCTCTCTCTCTCTCTCTCTCACACACACAAAATCTTACCAAAAAAAGGACAACCTACAGATTGTGAGAAAATATTTGTAAATGTCCTATCTTGATGAGGGGATAGTATCCAGGATAAAGAACTATAGGTCAACAACAACACACACATACACAAAAAAAATTTTAAAAGTGGGCAAAAGACGAACATATTTTCCCAAAGAAGTTCTACAAATGGGCAAAAAGCACATGAAAAGTTGCTCATCATCATTAATCATTAGGGAAATGCAAGTCAAAACTACAGTGAGATAGCACCTCAAACACATTAGAATAGCTACAATCGAAAGGAAAGTGTTGGGGTTCCCTGGGTGGCTCTGCCTTTGGTTGAGCGTCTGCCTTCGGCTCAGGTCATGATCCCGGGGTCCTGGGATCGAGTCCCACGTCAGGCTCCCTGCTTAGCAAGGGGGCCTGCTTCTCCCTCTCCCTCTGCCTGCCACTCCCCCTGTTTGTGCTCTCTCTCCCTTTCCCTTACAAATGAATAAATAAAATCTTTAAAAAAAAAGGGGGGGAAGTGTTAGTAAGAATGAAAAAAATGGGAACCCCTGTGCACTGTTAATGGGAAAGTAAAATGGTGTCCTTGCTATGGAAAACAGTATGCTGATTCTCAAAAAATTAAAAACAGAATCACCATGTGATCTAGTAATTCCACTTTTGGGTATAGACTCCAATCGAATCAGGGCCTCAGAGACATCTGTATATCCATGCAGCATTCAAAATAGTCAAAAGGTGGAAGCAACCTTGGTGACCCTCACAGATAAATGAATAAATGCAGTATACCCATACAATGGAATAGGATTCAGCCTTAAATGGAAGGAAATTCTGGCATGTGCTACAACATGGATGAACCTTAAGGACATTAAGCTATATAAAGTAAGCCAATCACAAAAGGACAAATATTGTATGATTCCAGTTATATAAGGTACCTAGATTAGTCAAATTCATAGAGACAGAAAATAGAATGGTGTTTGCGAAGGGTTGGAGGAGGGAGAGGAAGAGTTATTGTTTAATGGGTACAGAATTTCAGTTGGGGAAGATGAAAAGTTCTGAAGATAGTTGGTGAGGTTGCACAACAATGTGAATATACTTAATCTCACTGAACTGTACACTCAAAAAATGGTTAGGATGGGCGCCTGCGTGGCTCAGTTGATTGAGCGACTGCCTTTGGCTCAGGTCATGATCCCGGAGTCCTGGGATCGAGTCCCACATCGGGCTCCCGGCTCAGCAGGGAGCCTGCTTCTCCC